ATATTTTATGAATAATTGACTTTTGTATAAAATTAATAATTAGATATAATAAATATAAAAAAGCTAACGTTACTATGATTGTCCCCAGCTCATATTTTATCTAAACATTCATTCACTAACTAAATAATATGAAATAGCTAAATTATTTTTTGTAATATAACACTAAATATACAATTATTACTAACTATATATTTATAACATGAGTCAATTATAATGCTATTAATATAAGCCTGATAGTAATTATTTAAAATCATTATTCTCAAAATAAACACATAATACAACAGTACAGTTTTATGTTATAATAATTTACAAAACATAATTTGACAACATACTATTGTTTTGGTATTTTTGAGTTATAAAGGTTATATCACAATTACAGTTACAAATAATTATGAAATAATTAATCACTAATCTCTCAATTAAATCAGAATATTTCTAAAATAAAAATTTATTTTATTATCAACAACTAAAGTTATATATTATAAATGCCGAAATATTAAAGTTGTATAAAAATTAGTTATATAAAATTGTCAAACTTAGCTTACTTACTCATACAAAATATGATTTCATTAACACTAAAAACAGAAACTTAATTAAAAATAAATGTACATTATTACTGACATATGCTGCTATAATGAAAATGAGTATGTTAATCATATTTTGTATGAGTAAGTAAGCTAAGTTTGACAAGTTTTTGCAACTTCGAGCACGTAGTATAAGATTAAAATGTACAGGTTTCGATTAAAAATCATATTTTGTATGAGTAAGTAAGCTAAGTTTGACAAGTTTTTGCAACTTCGAGCACGTAGTATAAGATTAAAATGTACAGGCATCGATTAATATCGACTATCTATACTTTCCACAATGATGCCCTATCGTATAAACCTAAGAGATATCTGTTTCTAATAAAATACTTTTGAAATGAGTAACTATTTTCTAACTACTTATTTCACCTAAAATAACTCAATTAGCAAACAGGGTACTATTTTGTAAAGTTACATACCGGCGGTGTCATGTTTTTAAACGACTTGAACACTTTACTACTACTGGCAGCTTGGTAATACGAGAATGAGCCGGTTAATATCACAGTTAACGCCAACACTATACCCAAATACATCTAAAACACCAAAATTAATCATAAAAAACAATATTTAAAAAACTAACTAGCACATTTCAAAACACTCACATCCTGGGGCTCGTTCTCGATGCCAAAGGCCACAAAACTGGCAATGGATGCGAACCATAGTAACAGCGCAAAGCCCCCGGTCATTTCCCGTAAGTATAAAATCCACCAGGCTGTTTGTTTAGGTGGGGTAAAGGCGTTGGGGCCGTCCCTTTGCAACCTAAACGCCGCCTCCTTTTCCGTAATACCATTTTCGGGGTGAGTGTGGAGTCGCTCGCAAACCTCGTGCACATCAATGAGGTGTTCAGTGATCCGGACGTCCTTTAGGTCCACATTTGTCTGGCCATCCGTTTTGGGCTAATATGTTGTGAAACAAATAATTAGTATTGAAATGTATTGAAAATAGTTAACAAGCATGAAATTATATTTTAATAAATTTGTTATGGCATATAGAGTATTTTTAGTTTAAATTGTTAATTACACAACTTAGCCAGATACTACCGTAATAAGTTTGCATACGCATATGTGTATTGATTAAATTAATAACTGTTCAGTGACATTTTAGTGTTTAGTAAACAAGGATGTTTAGTTTTTATGATTTAAATTGTAAATTAATTTTCTTACTAATAGCAATTCAAAATAAAATTGTTTATAACACATGTTTGCCAGGGACAAGTTTGACATTTATGTAGCATGGTAGTTGTAGTTTATTCTTAAAAATTTATATAAACCATAAATATACTAGGTAACGTGAGTAATTAAATTAATTTAAGTAAAAATAAATAAATATTTTTTTCAAACATTACTTTCTTTTTCTTCCAGAATTTGAGTCGAAATCCGGAATCGCTTTTAACAGGCTTTCCATGACTTCCACTCTCAATGTCAGCCCTATTTGGCCGGGTATTGTGGTTATCATCATAACGAGTCATAATTTATTATATATTAAAGTAACACAAATTAAATCCAAATAAATATATCACTAATAAATTAATATTTCAAAAAACTTTTAATACACTTTTATATCACTTATAAAAAAATTGATATCACTTTTAATATGTAAAATAAAAATCACTGCAAAAAACAACTAACTCTTACGTATACCCAGTAGTTAATGGTTAATGATATCACATATATTTCTAACCTCCCGGCGCTTGTATTAACACTGTATTTGTCACACAAAGAAATTGCAGACACGAGTGGATAGGTATCTGAAAAGTTGTCGGCTTTTTATAAGCAGTAATTAATTATTTAGAAAATTTCTCTTTCATTGTCTTATCTATTGCTCTCTCAGTCTCTCAGTCTCTCTCTCTCTCTCTCTCTCTCTCTCTCTCTCTCTCGCCCTATCCTTATGTACTCTATATATCGACAGTATTTCATAACTAATATTATAATTAATCGTTTATTTTGTGATATATTCTCATATACTGTATATAAAGTGTAATTACTAATCAACTACTAATCCGTTATTTACTTTAATTTAAAACAAATACAACTATCGATTAGTCGGTGAGAGTAGTCATAGAATTGCAATTTAAAGTGTTTTATATGATTATATAATCACAAGATTTGTTAAGGAGTTAACTGGATATCTCACAAAATTATTTTGCACTTCAGTAGCCTTAACTGCTACAGTTTTCATTATCAGGGCTAAATTAGCGATGACATTTGAAGTATAGTTATAATATCTATATTACCTGCGATAATACCTGTGCCATAAGGTATTGACGCAATTTTTATAGTTATTAATTGATAAGTAATTAAAATATTTTTTAGACAAAAATTTATTTTAATTTGTATTTCATGTTTATAA